GTGTGAGCGGCCATCTGCTGAGGCCCACTGGGGTTCAAGGAGACAGAAGCAGACATAGAAAAAGAAGCATAGATACAAAAGGCAACTGTCAAAGGTTACACACTCTGTCACTTTGCACCTTCTTTGAAGATCTGCTCTGTGTGTCTTTCTGAAACCTGTTTAAAGACACTCAAACTTTCTGAAGATAAGTCTTTCCACCCCATAGGCGCCATTTACTTGTAGTAGGTGTCCAGAAAAAAATGATTTTATGTATGTTTTAAAACTGAAACTGATTATATATGTAACTATTCTACATTTTGAATCGGTCAATCTAAGGTGATTTTTTTTTTGTACAAAGTTTTTAACCAAACATTTTTTTTATTTCAATCCTGTTACTATAATAGATGGAGGATCCAAATCTATTTTTAATGGCATTACAGATACACTCCTGATCAAAATCTTAAGACCAGAATTAGCATTTTGCACTATTGGATCTAAAGAAGATTCAATGTAGAGCTTCACAATGTTAAAATAAGAAATCAGCGTAAGAGACAAAAACTTTTGAGTGGGGAATTTTCTGAAAACTGCATTTACACTCAAACATGATTTTTTTCAGCTGATCAAAAGTTCATCAATAATGACGTCTTTATTTCAACAGAATAGTTTGTCTAAGCATAGAAACAGAAGGCAGACAAAATGCATCCTTCCTGACAGCAAAGAGACACTGAGCACAACTTTGTGTTTTATCACAATGTTTCTGATCCTTTGATTAACAAATGAAAACTAAGATTAGTTTAAATATTGTCTAATTTCTATGATATTAAATGAGAGGATCAAAATGATGGAACATCCTGTCGAGGAAATTACTTCTGGAAACTTTACTGAAAGTTTCAGGTAAATAGACTGAATTAAAAAACCAGGGACACAACTGAAAGGTGGATTTTGATAAAAATATTATCGATTTCTTCTGTTAGAAACAAATTCAAATCATAGATAACAACCACATAGAGTGAGGACGTAACAAACGCAGATTTTTCAGCATAAACGTTTATATTAAACCTCTTAATCATATATACCAAATTTCCCATCAGATCACATTCACGACATTTTATTTAGTAAAAAGTTATTTTATAACAACATTTTCATACATACTTACAGATATTATTTCCAGAGGACTGAAATCTTATGTTTCCTTGTATGAAACCAGGCGGTAAGTTTACAGGCTGTAGAATGTGCCTCTCATCTCTCTGGTTAGGTATGAAGAGGATCAGTGGCGTTTAGTGAGTCAGGCTCATTTAAAAGGCTTTGATGGAACCATGGTCCCGTTCTCTGGTTTGGATCGGGGCATCCA